AACAAAAACATTTTCTTGCGTTATAGCTTTTATAATATTAACTTTACTCTTTTTCCTTCAAATAGAAACTAAAAACATGACGATCGGCAATAGCTAGCTAAAGTTATAACGAATCTAATTTTTTAAAACTTTAAACTTCATTTTCTCGAAACATGATTTTTCGACTTGATGACTTTTCGCTCTACGGGGACGATATTTACTTTTCAGTAGTCTAGGTATGTGTTTAAAACTAATTATTTAATGACTGGTAGTATACACTACAATTCTAGTTTTACCAGCTTCCCTGTGAATTGAATGCTTGTTAAAAAATCACACTGGACTGGACCACCTAAGCAAATAAATGTTCAGTTGTCTCTTTCTTTTCTTTTTTAAAAATCGTTGCGTCCCACTAGGGCCTTGTCAAATATCGTGGGTACCTACAAACATACAAGTTCACACATGACCCCCAGACCTGAAACAACAAAAATTGTGGATGACAGGAAAAGTTACTCCGCGCGAGAATCGAACCCGCTACACGTTGCGCTGTAGTCGGTTGCACAGCCACCGCGCCAACTGTGCAGTCGAATTGAATTTTTGAAATGTAAAATCTGAATGAAATGCAATAGAAATCGTGTCCAAGTCCACAAATACTTTCATAACGACTGAATCGAGGCGACGTTTGGTGGAATAACGTGTGCGTTCAAGCGTAAAGAGTTTGCGATGTGTAAAGAATGACCATCTTGGGTCACTTCCAATCGTATTCCATGAATTCGTATTTTTGTGCAAACTAAATGTCAGCATTAAAGACTGCTCTTATAAAACATGGCATATCTTGTTCTATTCTTGACTAGCTTCTGCCCCCGACTTGGTGGCGCAATCCTGGTTTTTCCCGTTTTCCTTCGTGATATTCGGTTAAAAGTATTGGATATAAAGTATTCTTATGTATGTCTCCTGATTCTAAGTTATCTCTTCACTCACTTCACAATATCTCTTCATCCAAATCGATTTAGCCGTTCTTGAGTTATAAATAGTGTAACTAAAACGGATTTTTTTATTTATTTAGGTATTGGTGTATTAAACAGCCTTTTTTGAAAGGGTATAATAATCATCTAATGACTTCTCCGCCGTGGTTGAGGCGAGAGAAAGAGAGTGTCAGAATCTTTCTGACTAAAAACTTCCTACTGTTGCTTCGAGCCGGCGTTACGCTTTAAGCGGCCCGCCACTTCGGAGTAACACAGCCTGACTTCTGTAATAAAGGTTCTGGCTGTGTCGTTGGTCGAGTTCCTATGAATTTTACTAGCAAGCGTTTTCAATTCTTATGTCGAGGAACGATAAACTTAAAATAAAGTCTTCTTTTTTTAAAATAGTCAACAATCAAATGGTATTTGGAATTATGTCTTGCTGCTTTTGTAATGAAGATAAATAATTCGTTTTAAACATGTTTACAGGTTTTATAAAAATGTGTGGGTACAGCATAAGTCTATATTGTTTAAACTTCTTAATGTCCAATCCTATTTTTGAAAAGGTTTCCATTTTTAATTAGAACTCAAATCATAATCGATGAAATAAGAATATTATTGTATTAACTTCGAATTACACACGTATCTATCTATTTTTCACTTTTAATAAAAACTTTCATAATACCTTTGTTCTTCAACCATCAACCTAAGTTATGTTCGTAATACTGGGTACAATTTCTTACTTCCTTGTAAAAAAGTGAGCGAAATGGCGAAGTTTGAATGGAAATATAACTTTGTGTGATGTTGGTAATATCAGCAATAATGTGCGCATGAATACCAGATGTGGTCTTGTCTGTATGAAACATTGTTTTAATGTTAGTAATTTTCTCGTGGGTATACTGCGTCATTACATTTTTTGTTCGAATATTGTAGATTATTTTTATTAAAAGTGTGTAAGATTGAGGATGTTGTTTGTCGTTATGTAATAATAAAAATATTAGATATCATACTGTTGAACTAATTATAAAATTAATCGCCTTTCCATTCTTAGTCTATGTATTAGTTTCACCTTTATATCCATAGACAGTGTCAACTCTATATTAATAAATAGTCTATGATTCTGTGGTACAACGAGTGTAGTTTATTTAATCTAATTTCCTTAATTAATAATAAAGTCATCACATACAATTACCAAATCAGTGTTATTACTAAAAAAACAGAATACTTTGCTTGAGCCTAGATTTGAACCTCAAATCGTTTGCACAGTAGCATTAGCAACCACTTAGCAAAGGAAAACGAAGCAGTCATGCTAGCTAAGGAGGAAGCCGGGCGCATGAGGCAGCGTAACGCTGCCTCCTCAAAGTCCAGCCGTCGCGAAGGATGTCCTGGACGTCGGGGATCACGGAACGATCTCCGGCCACCGTAAGCGCGGGCCTGCGGACGGCGAGCATGGGTAGCCTGCCGTCCGACCAAAACCAGACCCGAGCGTACGGCACGTCGCGTTCGGCGCGCGCCTCAAAGGGCCACAAAGACCAAAAAGAAGTCATTCGATAATTTTCCCCCCTTAAAAAAGCCAAGGAATACGGTCGAAATTTATTAATTTTGACCGTATCTTATTAGATAGCTACTTCAATCTTCAGTAAAATAGAATTTTGTTTATTCAATAAACATTTTAAGTACAGAAAGACACATAAAATATGAAATACAAATATTTTGAGACATCATCAATATTGTTTAGCACAGATTGAATTGTTAAATTCCGTAATTATTTGCAAGTGCAAGCATTTGCTTAGCGTTTTAAAAATGTTAGTGCAAATTAGTATTTCGTAATAATCAGGTCGTCGATTTAAGGTCACAATGTTTTGTTGACACTGCGCACTTATTGAACGGATATAGAATGTAAACTATTATTTTGATTTGAAACGCAAAACATAAAAATATTAAATCTTTACTTTATATTTGAACATGTTTAATACATGTATACTTGTATGCTTATACTTGTAAGCTGTTAATGACTCCATTACCTCTAGAACCACACTTTTAACGTAGGTATCATTTTTATTTTTCTTTAAAGCAAGTGTTGGATCTGGAAACTTTTTAATTCATTTTAGCTTTCCTACCCATAAATTCAGCTTAGTGGTAAAAAACGAATCGTTTTTCTATCCTCACATCTGGTTATAAAAATCATAGAATAAAAACACACCGTAATAACGCGATGAAAAGAAAAACAAACAAACTTAGCATTTCGCACATGCTGCAAGTCTGTCTAAATTCAAAATGAATGAACATTTCTTTTTTATGGGATAAGCCGGTAAACGAGATGTCCTATCATTTGATAGTAAGCAATCAGCGCCGCCCATGGACACCCAAAACATCAAAGGCGTTACAAGTGCGTTGTCGGCCTTCTGAGCATTACTACGATTACAATTACGATGGATTCTACGGATTCATTCCTACAAAAGTTTTGATGTTAGAATGTCTTCGTATAAAAATGAATCATACCCGAAACGTATCAGTTTACGTTCAACGAAAAGTGTCAACGAAATAAAAATGTAGTTGTACCCGAAATCTGCTGATCACAGGAGTGCACTCACTGGTGTACAGAGTCAGTGAGCCGCCAGCGGTCGCTCGGAGCTGTGAAGTAACAAATTAATTGTTATTTTACTAAATAATGTGTTGTAGTGATTTGTGAGTGAAAATTACATTAGTTGTAGGAAATTGTAAGTATTAGTTTCTTTGATACATACTTTAATTGTTTCTTTAAAGTATTTTCATTGAACTTGAACAATTTAAATTCAAATAATGTCCCGTCGTGATTAAATCATATCAATGTTTATTTTATCCATAACCGATACATCCTTAAATTAACTCGTCGAGTACCGTCATTATAGACACAATTATAGAACTATAGGTTGCGGTCACCGGTGACCGTTTGGTGTTTGACAGTTTAATCCTTATTATCACGATCAGCTCGGTTTGTCTCGGTGGTGTTGTGTTAATCTTGATATTCATTTCCATCAGAGGTTCAGTAGTTTAGAAGTAAAAGCGCAACAAACAAACAAACTTTTATATTTACCGGGAAGTAGTTTGGATGAAGTTACGTTTTTCAAAAGATTAGTTGTACTATAAATACATTTTTTTATATCATACTATACGTTTCATTTGTACATAATTATATGAGATATCCACCTATATCAATGTTCTTAATCAAATTGTTATCTTGTTCTCGTATACGGAAATTCGATCCCCATGTCGAGGAAGTTTCAAGTGCATAATATTCTATGAACCACGTTCAGTTAAATGAATATCCTGTTTACGCTGTTGTAGCAATCTGTAGCTCGAGGTCGGGGACAACTTTTAGCTATATCATGTAGCTAAAGAAGCATTTACATTTAAAAACTGGTTTTTATCCAAAACCAATAACTTTATTTGAGATATTGGAGATATTACAAATTTCATTCGTCAGCCAAATTATTGTGATAAGACTTATATATCATAGATTGATTGATTTACTTATTACAAATTAGCTAAAAGGTTCTTATTACGTTTCTGTTTTCCTATAAAAAATAAATTATATTTTAGCATCTTATTCAACGCACCTTCTGTTCTTATTCGGAGCAAAATAATAACATTAATTTATGTGGCAATATCAATATAGGCGCGTCCTACTCGACGATAATGTTCATTTTATTATAGCAATGTCCTACGACGACAGCAGATCGATCCTATCGATATTTAATAATATCTCTTCTATGATCTTTTTATTCATTCTTAATTAGGTGTAGTAGTTAGTATCGAGAGATTTTGGCTAAGATGATGATTGTCTTTAACTAAGATACTTTTGAGTTCTGCATATTTTCCGATTACACTTATAGTAGATATGATTCAATTTAATAGTAATATATTAAAAATCTTATCTTTTTCCAGATGACCAGTGAAAATATGAAGGAACGTTGGGACCAGTTGGGCCTTCCACCAATGGAGCTGGCCGAGTCATCGGGAAATAGTATGATATTTTTATTATAACTTTTCGAACTAACTATCTTTAATAAAAATTCCTAATAATGAGCGATTGTACTCTTTTTAATCATCATTCAATACAACTATTTGTCGTATTTCAGGTCGCGATAACAATGGAGGGAACAGATGTTTATTCCCTTCATTACAAAAACTGCTATTATTGTTACTGCTAACATTTTTCGCAGTAGGCACTTACATCTTACTCTTAAGAATATCTGAAAACACTGGTAAGTGAAACTAAAATGTTAGTAATTAGGTAATTATTACATTTTGTAATATCTAATATTTGTTTCATTTACAGACTCCACGAAAATAATAATTGTCACTGGGAATAATGACCTTCCTAATGTAACGCTTCGCAATATAGAATTGTATTCTATTCATAAGCAAGAGAAAAATGACACTTCCGAACAAGAACTGACATCAGAGCCTCCAATTATTTTAAGAAAGAAAAGAGAAATCACCTCGGATAAGCCTGCAGTTAACACGGAAGAACCTATCGTTTACAGTGACGAACTGTTACAGAAATCTAGGGACCTGATGATGGAATACGATGTTCATTGCAGACAAGAAAATAGAAATTTGGTCTGCAAAGACTTGGTTACAAAATTGAGAGCACTACAAAACGACGATGAAACGAACAGTAAAGAAGATCAACCTAAAATCAATTTGGATGTCAACAATAACGTGCAAAGAGTCGCCGCTGAAGGTAAAGCAAAGCAAAGTATTGATTTTAATGACCTTACAAAACGGGATACGTTGATGAATATTGAACATTTTATGGACTCTGTCCCTATGCCGATGAATGCTAGAAATGCTGATCCACTGACAAGTGCCCATATGGTGCCACATTCTCATTCAGTACCTCCTCAGCATCTTAGTGATACATGTTTATTGGCGCGTCTAATAAAACAGAATTATCCGCGAGCGAAAGGTTAGTATTAAAGTTCTTTTTACTACATTTTCTTACTATAAATATTTAACCGACTTTTATTATTTTACAGAAATTTATGAGCCCTCTCCTGACTACATACACACACAACATCACGAGCATCCAGTCATGACTAAAGCCAGGTATGTAAAATAATGTTTGCTAAATATATTATCATAATACATATTTGCTAAGTTTATTTTTGTACTGAGATGTTTACTTGCTTTTTCTTATTGTTAAAGATTTTTCTCGCCCTCCGTGCACACGCCATATTTCCAAGAGCGGGATATGGACACGCAGAGGCGTAAAATCCATCCTCAAGATGTTGATATATTCATGAGCATGCTGGCGCCAAAGTAAGTGTTGAATGTTTATTTACTAATTCATCCTCGTTTGCAAAGGTTTCATTTTATTTCTTGTTTTTCACTTTGAACTATTTTTAAATTCTATAGTCCTTTTTCCATCTACAAAGACGACTGAGATACATTTTTTCTTGATGAGTCGCAATCATTTTTACTCAGTTGTCAGTATTAAAGTTAAAACGATTCCAAACTTTTATGATAGAATCTGAACTATGTGTCTAATATTCGTATGTAATAATAATTAATTATTATATCAATATATTGGCCAAAAGTACAGTTTTCTAATACTTGTCATTAAATGAAAATTTACAGAGTAGCAGCAACACCTAGGGAGAGTAATCAAACAAAAGCATCGCGGGAAGCGATGTGCCCACGAGGCACTGTGTCCTGTCTAAGTGGAGACACTTGTATCGATGAGAAGCAGTGGTGTGACGGCAACGTCGACTGTCTTGATGTCAGTGATGAAGCAAGCTGTGCTTGCAAGGAGAGAGTCGACAAATCTCGTCTCTGCGACGGATACTTTGACTGTCCTTTTGGAGAAGACGAAATGGGTTGCTATGGTAATTATACTACGACAAAGTTTATTGCTATCTTTTTACGGTATTCACGACTTTAGTGTTTTTTAGAGTTTTTTAGTAACGTCCAAAAGTTTTGAAGCGAGAAATATTCCGACTTAATCAAGTAGTAAAGCTTTAACAAAACTAAGATAATCGTAGTCATTTATTTGCAGAATAGCAGAAAAAGTAAATGGATATTCCAAACCAATTTAGATTTAAAAAGTATATATCTTAGCACTCTTTCAGTTTCACAGGATACTTTACTTTTTTTCAAATACAAAGAAGTTCGCATCTTACCTACGATGTTTTAATTATTTCAGGTTGTAGTGAAACTATGTTTAGCTGCGAAGACTTGGACATCAGTGCTCAAAGCACTTGCTTCTCAAAAGAGCAGAGATGCAATAATGTTGTAGACTGTCCAAACCACAAAGACGAACTGGAATGCAACATGTTAGCTCCGAGTCTACTTAAAAAACCAGTAAGAGTACTTCAATTACACACAAAAAAAAACTATTTGTAACATTGCTATTTCCTCTCATATTTTTAAATACATTTTCTTACTTAATCATTCTTGTCTATAAAGTTTTTGAGCTATAAAGATCTTCTAAAGGATTTCTAAAGATTTAAACACCCGATTTATACCGGATCATCTTCAATACTTTGCAAAATCGAAACTTTTTCATTTGCGCGTAGCTCATACATCAAAGTGAAGGTGACGGATGACGGACACACCATTTTCATTTCTGTGATTTTTTGGACACAATTTTGCATCACTCTGATTGACTTCAGTCAATCGGTGAGAATACAATTGTCACCAGTAACTTCAATATAAATTTCAAAGTAACCATTTTGAATTTAAAATAGACTTTATTGTGTACTTGGTAGTTTCCAAGTTGCAAGACTAATTTTTTATTATTCAAAACAATTATAATTTCACCGTAACGTTGAGACAATTAAATAAGTTATTTTCCTTTATCGTCTGTTATCGTTGTCATAAATTTAAAATTCTAAAAAATATTAAAGTAAAATAACGTAAAAGTTGTAGGAACGATAATGATGAGATGTCGTGGGTGTTTCCAATATTTTTTTATGAAAACAATGATCTTTTATTTCCATAAAGTTGTAAACAGAGATCAGTGGGCTATTTAAATTTTATTCTAAATGGATTTTATTAATTTTCAGTTGTTTGCTATTTCAAATACGGAAGGATTTCTGCATAGAAATTTCAAAGGTGACTGGTATGCTGTATGTAAGAACCCGTATATGTGGGCTCATGATGCATGTCGTCGGGAGACCGGTGTCATAATTAGGTATGAAACTCAACACATTCTTATTCTCAAAAAACTGCAGTTTTATTGCTATGGACCAAAAAACCTCCATTGTATATTTTAGGCCTCCTTTCATCAGCACCGTTCCAATTGACCCTATGGTGAAGATCGACTATCTGAATACTGGTCCTGGAGGTCTAATACAAACAAGTGACACATGCATGAACTCGTCTGCTGTTTACGTCACATGTCCTGACTTAATATGTGGAACGCGAGTGCAGTCTACGTCACAACTGCTTAAACAGGTATCGTACTCCAAAGCAATTGAACTTTCGAAGAAAATAGATTGCGCTCACGACCTATCTTCAGAATTAAATTTACTAACTAAAATAGATTCTGTCTTCAACAAATGTCTGGACGATTTTCTGGAAATTCGCAGAATACAAATTACAAATATACTTTTTTGTTCGTCAAATAGTAAAACATAAAAAAAATATCTTACATCTTAAAGTCCATCGATTCAGTGAACTCATTCATATCATTTAGTTCGACTTAGTGGAGTCTTGCGTCTTATAAAAGATTTGAATCAATATAAACTAGCGTATTTTTTTATCTTCAGAGCAATATTATGGAAAATCGTTTGTTTGGAAGAAACAAAAGATATTTCCCAACAAGTCATGCCTATCCACCAATGTTTTACGGTAACCGTTATAAAAGAGATGTGGACCAAGATAGTACTAAGACAAATTACGGAATGGAAATCAATAGATTGTCGGCATTTGATACAATGAGGAACAAAAGAACAGAGAGCAGGGTAGTGGGTGGAAGACCTAGCCAGCCGGCAGCCTGGCCTTGGATGGTGGCTGTATACAGAAACGGCATGTTCCATTGCGGTGGAGTCGTCATTAACCATAGCTGGGTGATATCTGCTGCTCATTGTGTCAGCAAGTAAGCATTATTCATACATACTTTTTACTTTCAAAATTTACATAGGTATATTTCAATTTAATTTATTCTTTCAATTCACAGATTTTGGAAATATTATTACGAAGTACAAGTTGGAATGCTGCGTCGGTTTTCATTCTCACCACAAGAACAAAGCCACAGAGTGACTCATGTCATTGTCAATCAATTTTATAGCCAAACTGACATGAAAAACGATATGTCTCTATTGAGAGTCGAGCCTGCCATTCAGTTTAGTCGATGGGTGCGACCGATTTGTTTACCAAGTCCCGATACAGCCGGTCCTGATTGGCTTTGGGGACCTGCACCTGGCACAATCTGTACTGCTGTTGGTTGGGGAGCTACTACGGAAAAGGGACCCGATCGTAAGTAATTCCATACTTAACTATGTTTAAAAACGACTACTACAAAGTATACCTATATAATATCATGAACAGATTTTTCCAAAACATTCATATTATGAGTAATGGCCTGGTATGATGGTAAAAAGATTAGTGTGAAAACATTACAGTGCTCAAGTATCAACAAATATTCTGCAATTAGGTATATTTTCATAACGAAAATGAATTTGTAATATTTCTGCCTATTTTAGCCGATCACATGCGTGAAGTAGAAGTGCCTATTTGGGAAAACTGTAAACACCGGGAAGATCAAACTGGAAAAGAAATATGTGCTGGATTCGTTGAAGGAGGAAAAGATGCATGCCAGGTAAACAATTTTCTTATGACGATGGTGTAGACTGCAAAAGATTTCATAAATCATATTTCGACTCTTTACAATAAAGACAATACAGATTGTAATGTGTATCGTACAGTTGTAATAAAAACTAAGAAATTAATATTTAATCCCATTATTTATACGTTAAATAAATATTCATATACCTTATAAGCTAAATTACTACGCATTGAATTGTTCCAGGGTGATAGTGGCGGCCCGCTTTTATGCAGAAATCCTTTGAATTCACAACAATGGTACATGGCAGGCATCGTGAGTCACGGAGACGGTTGCGGTCGTAAAGATGAGCCCGGTGTTTATACTCGCGTCAGCCTCTTCGTAAAATGGATTAAATATTATATATGTAAGTATCAAATCTTTATTACAACACAAATTTTTCATTATAACTCAGTTTTTACTCAATTCTAATATTTTTTGCAGCATCCAATACGTTACCTACTATTCAACCAATACAAGAATGTCCAGGATTCAAATGTGATACTGGAATTTCAAAATGTCTTCCAAATAAAAGACGATGTGACAAAATAGTTGATTGCCTAAATGGAGAAGATGAAACTAGATGTGATTACACAAAAGTTTCATTTACTGATAGCTTACTCATGGAAACAAAAAATTCACTAGAAGATCTCCCGGAAAGAAAAGAAGCTGAAACAGAAGCCCCTTTGATGTCTACCAGCTCTAATCAAGAAAATATAATGTCAACTAGGATGCCAATGGACAAAGAAACTACAAAACCTCAAATTGATAATGAACAACCCCTATCTTCAATAGAAAATAATCTAGCAATGTCTACTACTTGGAATCAAGAAAATATTATCTCAACTAGGATGCCATTCGATAATGAAACTCCAAAACCTCAACTTGATAACGAACAGAGCCTCTCTTCAACAGAAAATTCTTACTTAAATAATCAAGAATGGGAAAGCAAAAAAGTTATAAAGGACGAAGACATTGCCAGTGAAGAAAACTCAAATGATCAACCGAAAACAGTTGAAGAAACACCAGATTTTTCACAGACTATGATTGGAAACAATGATAGAAGCTCAGAGGGTGTTAACGATAACGTAGTAACTGGGTCATCACTAGAAATGACCACTATCAGTCGTGGAGATACAGAATTTGTAACCATGGGCTTTGATCCAGCATCCCTCGAATCAGGATCATCAATAAAACACATGACCACTGATGATTATTTGAATGTTGAAGATATTGTAACAAACAACGTTTTTGCTCAAAACACTGCTGGTGAGACAGAAACATCTACTTCTGGTTTAACAGTGAAAGATGCTATGGACCAAGAAGAAGAAGCGACGTCGTTAATGAGCAAGGAAAATGTGAAAGAAAGCGTAAATAGCCACAGTGATAATGATACAGGTTTAATTGTAAAACTTTTGCCAGAATCGCAAACATTATCACCCGACCAAGAAGCAGAATCAAAACTTATTCACAAAGAACTTCAACAAATCACTGCAAATATTAATCAGGAAAAGAAGGGTTCCAAATCACTCCCAGTTACAGATAATTTAGATAACTTACAAGATATAGTGACATCTGAACTGGAACCACCCAAATCAAGGAGGAAACATCGTAACCCTCCTACATTTGAATGCAGACGGTAAATGTTTAAAAAATATTTTACCTTTACACTGCTAAACTAAAGACAGGAATGAAATTGATTATTTATTTTCAGAATTGAGCAAACAATACCTTATCAGCAGCGATGTGACAGAAAAGCGGATTGTGAGGATGGCACTGATGAATTAGACTGCACATGTACCGACTATTTGATAACCTTCGACGACAAGCTTATATGTGATGGAATATCTGATTGTGCTGATGGGCAAGATGAACAGGACTGTTGTGAGTATAATGTTGTGTTACCTATTTTAGACAGTAAATTTAAATTCGGTGACCGTATACTGAGAACATCAATTTTTTTTATAACCCAGCCAGTCTAACATACGGTACAATTTATCATATGTTACACTATTGCATTTGTGACCAATCAAAAACGTATTTACATGAAATTGTAAAAGTAAGTAAACTTTATTAACGTAATAAACTTTCAGTCAGCTGCCCAGAAGACCATTTCTTGTGCAAGAAAAGCCAGGTTTGCCTACCAGAAATACATGTCTGTGATGGAAAACGAGAATGTCCTCTAGGTGAAGATGAAATGAATTGCTGTAAGTATATTTATTTCAATACAATTTTATCCTTTTGTCCATAACTCATGCTAAAAATATCCTATCGATAAAACTAGAAAGTTGCAAGAACTGACAACGAAAGCATATAGAAATTTTTTAATGATTTCAGACGCATTATCCAACGGTCAAGAAATGGAATTCGACTTAGATGAAAGACCACTAGTAAACCTAGAGGGCTACCTAACAAAGAAACACTTCAACAATGAGTGGCATGTACTCTGTTATGATCAACTATCTAATGAGGAACAAGAACAAGCAGCTACGCACATTTGTCGCTACTTAGGATTTAGGTAATGCAAACCAACTTACTTCTGGTATACTCAATACAAGTGGAAAAATCCTGAATAATAAATTAAAACATAATAATTCTCTGGTTTTTCATATTACATATAACATCACGCCTTTTATCCCCGAAGGAGTAGGCAAAGGTATATATTACGACACTTAATGCCACAGTACACAATGTAACACCCACTTTTCACCATTTATGTTATGAGTCCCATGTAATACGGGGTAAGCCTATTGCCACATGCCGGCCACAATTCCAGACTCCGTGCTACTAATGAGATTAGATTATTTTAATTGTCGGGGTCTCACCCCTTGTCCAGCAGCCGCACTTGAAACCACTCGGCCCATAAGGCAGGCAACAAGGATTTTCATAGTAATTGATTATTTGCAAAGTACATTTGAATAATAGTAAGTTATGTTACAGCGGTGCAAATAGATATCCTGTGAAATACATAAATATCAACGAGAATGATGTAATGGGAATCGAAACACACAACAACAGGCATCGAAGAGATACGAAGGAGCGTGTTCCTGTCCAATTTGCCTATAGAATGGAAGGTTCAGACAATGATACAAGCCGACATACCATCATAAAAGGTCCCCAAGTACTTAAAGAAGAGTGTGTACCAAACGTAACAAAAACTTGCAAGGCTTTGTACGTTGCTTGTGATAATACTCTGTTTACCAACTTTGATGATGAAGATGATTCAGAAAACAGTGTGTTTAAACGAGATTCATCAGTCAGTAACCGTGAATGGCCTTGGATTGCGAAAGTCTTTGTTGAAGGAGACTACAGATGTACTGGAGTTTTAGTAAATCTGTCTTGGGTTTTAGTCAGTGATTCTTGCCTTTGGGATTCTACGTAAGTTTGACAAAAATATACAAGTAGACTGTTGGTTGTGATAATCATTTGAGCAAAGTTTTTAATGAAATTCTTGTTTCAGACTAACTCATCACTTCATAACAGTTGTACTAGGATCGCATAGAACTTTAGAAGGTTTGACCAGCATGCACGAACAAGTTTATCAAGTGGATTACAAGAAGGATATTTATCGCAATAAAGCAATGTTGTTGCACCTGAAAGAACCAGCTCATTATTCAAATGTCGTAAAGCCTATGATTGTTACTTCTCCGTGAGTATTTTGAACTCAACTTAGCTTCCGACCTATACCTTTTAAAACTATAGTTCTTTGGGTATTTATTTTTTGTACGTCGTCATGCGGTATAATGGTGGTTAGTTAACCACCATTATTCTAATTTTATTAATTTATATTTTTTTTCTAACCAGTACAATTATTTTAATTTTATTAATTTATATACCATATTTCTTTTCTATTCTAGGTACACCCCAGAAGAGAAATCAACTTGCGTAGCCGTTGGTCAAGACTACAAAAACAATACAATCAGCGTATTTTTGGAAGAAACTAATGAAAACTGTCACCCCAGTAATCGTTGTTTCAAACGAAAATCCACAGAAAATATTTGCCCAGTGAGTTGAAATTGATGTATAAAGTTACTATTTTCATTTTGTTTTAGTATTTAGATCTCAAACGGCAGATTTCGATGACGTAGAAATGTTATTTTAGATTTTCATAATCTGTAACTTTAACATCTATATATTATTTTAGGTTGAGGTGAAATCGACCCAACATTGGGCTGGTATCATAAGTTGTCATACTGACCAGGGATGGTATCCAGCTGCTACATTCGTTGATGGCCGAGGAGAATGTGGATTACAAGACCATATTAATGCTACAGATATAAACCATCTTAAACACGAAATACATAGACATTATGGTAAGTCAAAATGTCTCATTGAACCACATACTTATTGCTTAAAGATGATAATTTAATTCAGATTTTAATGGCGTTTTAAACTGAAACAGCGATAAAAATACTATAAATCTGTCTATCACTGTAGTCTTCTAATCTGCCCAGAAAACATTTTTTGTCAGAAAATTAATAAAATGTTATAATCAAATATGATTTTATCAATTGAAATCACTCAGGAAATTATCTTTAAATATTAACTCACCGATACATTTTCAAGGAAATGACAACACTTTTCAATTTATTTTGGCATCCGTAGGTAAGAAGACATTACCGTCTTTAATCGAGAAGGAATTTGGTGACGATTGCGAAGGAATGCGATGTGGAAGAGGTCGGTGTGTGGGATTACTTGAAGTTTGCAACGGTGTAAGAGATTGTGAAGATGGTAATGATGAATCTGAACAAGCCTGCGAGAAAAAACATACAATGTGTGATAACGACCCATACCATAGAGGATGCGGTAAGTTAAAAATATTTATTAATTTGGTACTTAATGTTCTAAATCATGGTTTAGACAAAATTACTAAAAATTCGTAAGGTTTCAAACTACATTGATTTACATTTAACTTTATAGAGAAATGCATAGAGCTCTTATCCTCTAGTCTGATATAAGTCACGTACGTAGAATTCTTTGTAATCTTCACTCGAATACAAACTATGTACTGACGATCTCATCTACATATTTTGTTATTATATTTGAAGTCCATACATCAACCACACGTGATGACATAATCTCATTTTTCGCCGTTAAAAATAGGTGTATCGAATTTCTCATCACTTGACACCGAATTTTCAATTATAATGTAAGTAGGTTTTCTCAGAGGTTTCAGCCACGTGTTCTGTTCCTAAGGGTCAAAACGCGGTGACAGAATTTTTATATAGATTTCTTTTTTAAATTGGCTAACCAAAATAGCACAATGCTAGTCGAATCGATTTTAAAGAAGATAAAAGTTAATATATGGACATAACTTTAACCTAGGTAATTGAATGCAAATGTCAATTCCATACATTTTAACATGAATACGTTTAAGCATGAATTAAATTAGCGAAATGTCGTATGTAGTAATTTGTTTACCGCACAGTTCCACATTTTTTTAATTAAGTTGTAATGAGTATCAGAAACGTAGACTAATTTAAGTCTTTTGTCGAAAAAGTTACAATAGTGTTACATTTTCTCTTGTTATATGACCTTTATTTAGTACTGCAATAAATACTTGTCCATGAAAAGTTTTACTCCATGTCCATTCTTCTAACTCAAAGAATTTCATAATATCATCTTGAGGGTCCTTGATGGCAATTTAATAAAGGAGAAACCTTTTTATGTTTGAGTTGTAGATTATGTCATAAATGAGTGGTAGGCTGGCTTAAGTTAGGTATTTCATAATATCAGTGTGGTACAAGTTATTATCTCGGCATTTAATAATGTGATAGATACTATTTTTAGCAACAAAATGATTGCAGAATTCGTTCAATTAACCGCCTTTATAAAACAGTTGTTGAGAGATGTAGCTATAATTACCCCAAAAATACTTAAGGGATTTGCTTTGCCTTAAAAATCATAATACAATTTTGGAAAGACACTGGATGATATTGGTCTATTTTTTTACAGAATGTTCAGTCGGCCAAATGAAATGCCACAATGGCAAATGTATATCGAAGGAACTATTCCAAGACGGAAACGATGATTGTGGAGACGGTACTGATGAGCCTGGACGCTCAGTATGTTCAGTCTACTTGGCTAGAGTGATGCCATCGAAACTATGTGATGGAATCCTCAACTGTCATGACAGAAGCGATGAAGATCCTATGTTCTGTAAATGTTTCGCGAAGAAGAGTTATAAGTGAGTGTTTTTTTTTCTTTGGCATTAATTACAACAAAATCTAGTTTACTTGCCAGTTATTCTTCATTGTAAAAAGACACCAAGATAAATACAATCGTTAGCTCTTCCTACCAAATTGATGTTTCAACCGTGTCAAACAAGAGTGCTTGGTGCATAATTTGTATCCGTCTCTATCATTTTATTTTTGTGTGTATTTACTGTAAAATTACAGAATTAATTATAACATTGTCTTTGAAAAATGGCTATTTGGTAGCAATTTTAATTCATTTTTTTTTTCATAGGTGCGGTTCTAAGTTAGGCGTTGATCACTGCGTAGCTCCTGACATGGTGTGTGATGGTGTTCGTGATTGCCCTAATGGAGAAGATGAGCAAGTCTGCATGGGTCTCAACGCTCCACAAGGAACACCGTGAGTATATGAACGTCTTTTATCGTCTCATCTTGAAAAAGAAGAAAACTATTACAGGATTTTCTGTTTATGACTGCATCATTAGTTAAATGAAAATTACTGAGTGGTGTTTCTAAGATTCCATGAGAATATTACAAATTTTAAACTCTGCTCAATATTTAACCACATGATTCCCTTCATGATATTAGAATAATACAACTGGTAAATTTGGCGTCCAATTTACTGCATATTCCTTGCAAGAAAATAAATGTGTTATACTTATTAAACTGTCAAACACCAAGCGGTCACCGGTGACCGCTACCTATTGTTCTACAATTGTGTCTAAAAAAACCGGTACGCGATGAGTTAAAAGACGTTCTTTACAAATTCTATTTTTCTATTTTCAGATACGGAACCGGTCAAGTGACAGTACGGCGTCATGGCGTCTGGCACTCCAAGTGCTACTCCTCACCGAACCACACGAAAAACGAGTTAGAAGCAATCTGCTCCGAATTAGGTTTCAAGAGCGGACATGCGAAGCAAATCAAAGAAATCGAAAATTTCGTAGTTCATCCGTATAATAACTTAGTGGTCGACCCTTTCAATGAAATTACGCTCAATAATAACACAGTGATAAAAATGAGAAATTCACACGAACCGATAGCTAAGGCCGTGTTCGATGAGAATCTGAAGGAATGTTACCCAGTCTTTATAGAATGTCGTTAGGATATCCTATAGTTATTTATTTTATTTATTGATGTTTAGACTTAAAGTTCGATTTCAGTTTTTTTCTTAATGTTTTATATGGAATAAATGTATTTTTTTATGTTCTTTAAACTGATTTTCCTTTAAACTTATTCCCAACTAAAGTTAAGTAACTATACATTACATATTAATAGTTGCAAACTGACTCTTATATTCTAGAGGAATACGGTCTTATACATTTTTTTGTTATTTTATAAATGTTCTACAGCATTCTGCAGATACAAATTAGGTATGTACATACAGTAATACAAAAGCAAAATTACCTATTTCTATTTTAAGACGTCTAAAAATTCGGCGTAGCTATGATATAAGAAAGCTAGCGCACCCTAACGAATCAAAATGCAAGCGAGGAAATTCTAACTTATCGTGTTTTACCAATAGATGGCGTGCAAAATCAACACTGGCTTACAGTATCACTACAAATGGAAAACTTGTTTCAAGTATACTCCATAGCGACGAGGTCAAATTAAACCTAACTTAGTTGAGTAAGCGTTTCATAGATGGCACTATTATACATTACGGCTTAACATTAAAATACATTCAGATTAGTAAGCCGTATATTATTTCAACAACTCCTTTATACATATAGGTACTTATCATAGTAGTAGTTATATAATTTTATAACTGCTACCGATATTAAATATATTGGAATAGTGAGAAAGGGATTTTTATTTTTATTCAAATGTAGGAGTTTTAATTAGGTAATCATAATTTAATAAATGAAATGTCAATAAATTGATTCGATAAAAGGTGTCACTTTTTGTCATAATTTATATTCACAACATTCAGTTTTAAAATGTTAAGCCTCTAATAAATTAGTGATATGATCATGCGGTCACGCATAATCTGACACCATTATTTATCAGGGCATGAACCTAAATCAATATTCACTTCATATATTAATTTACATAATATAAACTATTAGAGCGACAAAATAAACATTTCTAAATTAAATTTCTGTCAAAACAATTATTAATTTTAATTCTACGTGATTTTTAAATATATTAAATAAAAAAAGTGATATAAGATAATAATAAACACATGTTTGTCAATTTAAACACATTTTGTCACCTTTTTATAAACGTTAAACTAATAAATCTATTTTTTTCACATTTAATTTAGCATGCACGTGCATCGAGATTATTTTAATCGTCTAAATTATTATTTAATGGATAACATGTGTTACAGAAAATTTAAATTATAATAATGTAGATATCGAAAAAATAAGAAATAATGTACAAAATGTTTGTAAATAACAAAAATTCAGTGTTAAAAATATAAAAAGGATTTTGGAGATTGGAATTAAAAAGTGACAATTTGTTGGACTTGTTAATATCATCAACAGATCACGCACAACAGGAGTTTATAAGCTGTGAAGTCGTAACATGGACAAATGTAAAAATATAATTAAGTATTTCATTGAAAAACTATTTTAATTATAATCACCATACAAATGTCTTTAATTAGATACGTAAAAAATATTGCTTCAACATCTTCTTAACATTATCATATCGGAAACTAAGATTTCCTTCCGCCCTTTAATGATTAAGGAAGTCGATAAGAAACACTTAATCGAAATGTTTAACAACAAAAAATCTATAAAATATATTCTGCCAAAAATAAAGTAATCAAAGTTAAGTAATTCTAAAGATACACTTTTTAAATTAATAGCTCGTCGATACCCACAGTGGCAAATAAAAGAATAGATCAATTTATTAAACAAACTCCAGGGTCAAGTATGTCACCTTAAAAATATTAATTTACTTCAAGACGGCCATTAAATGATTGTGAATCATTTACTTAGGACTTAACATTTAAAAAGAAACAACATAAAGAAAAAAGTCTTGAAATTACCATAACGTGTGTTCGATTAATTCAAATTATTGCAATTTGCTTAATATAAAAATAAGAAAAAGAAATTCCTGGCATGCCAGATAAAATAAAATTGGTATAATTTTGCTTTTTAGTGGCATATTGAATTAATTACCATATTTTGTATCTAGAACGATCGTTTCTAAGATTCTAATTAAGTTCTAGGCACTGATAATAATGCTAACTAGACCATAAGAAATAAGTGTAGTATCCTATTAATAGTATACAATTTTGCTATTATGACGTCATAAACAAAAAGTACATATTTAAATAGCTAGCTATAAAATAAAATTTTAATACTATTAATAAGATAATGAACAAGGAATCGACTTTATCACAAACCTTCTGTATAAATTTCGATCTTAAAATGTCGGTGGAAGTCCAGAGAAGGTTGAAAAGGTAAGAAAAAACAATTTTAGGGGGTACGAAGTTTGTCTGGTATGCTAGTTAAGAATAAGCATCATACCGCTAGTAGTATTTATTGTATCTGCTCTCGATATCTATTTTCATTAATGGTCGTACAATATTTATGGTCCATGAATATTATATTGATTTGGACAAACCACTTGGTCACGTAGTGTTACAAGTATAAATGAAACCATAAATAACATGTAGGTATATGTATAATAAAACTGTAGATCCAACGACTCGACGCCATAGAGTCTGCTCGCGATGATGACACCACTATTTCAATTTGGGCCATTTAACTCCGAATATATTAATGATAAGACATTATGCAAATTTAAATTACTTTTAAGAAAAATTTCGAACAGAATCAAATATTTAACATAATATTATACACAGACCGTAAAGATGATAAATGTATAAGAAATTCACAATAAAACGTAAGCTTACATGTATTGCAGGATCATTGAATAAGGAGGTATAAATTTAACAATGTCCATTGTATTATAATTTTGGTTGTAAATCAGAATTTTTAATGCGTTTCTTTAATTTGCGCCGACCGATTTATTTTTGCACTAGCGTTCCGTGGACAGCTTTGACAGCCTTCGTATTTACTGCCTTGACACATGCAAACCTTATTCCTCTTTTTTGTTTTAGTTCGATATGTGAATTATTTTCCGCAGGTGTCCATTCTATCTAAATCTGTGTGCAGAACAATATCTTAATTGACCTTTTCGTGTGGGTTTTTATTATTACAGATTTTATCAATTCCTGACACATTTAAGACCGATTTTACATCCTTTATCAGTGTTATAAACATCGTGGAATAATCACGAGTCCGATCAGAAGTTACAATCGGTTGTGTGTCGGTATCACTGAATGTTCACTGTGTATAAATGATTCAGCAGGAACAGTATAAAATTGATCATTTGTTGTGGTGTCATTTACTTTGGCGAATTTATTTGGGTATCGATCAGCCGTTCTCATTACTCGTTTAAAAGAGTCACTCACTAAGTTGCCTTGACTCGAGAGGTTGGTTCTTGGATATGCAATTTATTGGGCGATGTATCACGAGCGCTCTCTTCCGAGACGAAAGTTGAAAGTTCACGCGGAAAATATTTGAAAGGCGTCGGAATCTGTACATTGTGCTGTATTTATCGGATAAATATCATAAAAGAATAATAGATATCTATGGTACATAGAAGGCAGATAAAGAGGCAGGTATTTATGATTATAATAGTAAAGTATATGATGGAAAAAATCCATTCAGCCCTTAACTCTGTACCAAAGTATATGAAAGCGTTGACTTTTTACGTTCCAAGGCTGTTTTGGATCCCAAGGTTTGTTGAAGTGGAACCAGTGGGTTTTTATTTCACGCACGTAGGTAACTGTTTTACTGATGGTTATCGCCAAAAATAACCTTTAATTACCATGTAGTTTGAGCTACCCTGACCTTTCACACAGACACTTGCAGTCACTGCCTCCTTATGTAGCTGTATGTACGAGTTAGACTCGCCAAGCCCTTCGTCTGTACTTAGGACAAAGAGTTCATTGTGAACAGAATCATCGCCATTTTAATACTATTTTTTATTTTATATTTATTTTTAAAGATCTATGACCTCCATTTGATTTAGTTGTTTTGACGCATAAAATTGTTTTTTTTATTATTATAATTCTTAAGCAAATCTAATTAAAAAGAAGCTGAAGTTAGTTAAAATATTTTTGTACGTCAAATTCACCAAAAATAACCAATCTGTAACATAATGTCGAATCTATCAGAGACATAAGACTACATGCGGTCAGTTCATGAATTATGCGACACATCGATTACAAAACGGAACACCGTATCAATTCAGTGGCGGCCGCCTTTGAACTGCCTGCCACTTACTGGATGATATGCATTACTTACTATATCTCATTGTCGTATCATATGTTTACACCTTTCACTTTTAACATAATTAATATCTATATTTTTACACCTTATTGCTTGATTAATTAGCTACACTATGTTTATAACACTATCCTTATAAATTCTAGCAAATTTATAATGTCAACGCAAACTTTTAACACCTCCGACATCTGATCCGAGTATATTGACTAATATAATCAGAAGCATTGGCAACGCCCACATTATTTATTGACATTATCACTATCACGACGTTGATTGATTTATTATAAATTTATTCTGGCTGTATATGGACTTTAATGGTAATGTACTACATTATAATAAGGTGTGTGCGAAATTAGGCGCAAAACAATGATGCACAAAATATCCCGAACACGGAAGAGTCGACAAAACATTACCTTGTACGAGTAATAAATCTGTCTCTCGGCACATATCAGAGGATCTTCATCGATAAAGAGCCAATAAAACGCATCTAATTAATGATTGTTCAAACATAAAAAAGCCGCTCCAACACTTCCGACATCAGTATTTATTTACTTTTGAATCATTAAAAAAAAATTGCGTCAAAAACTTTGGACTCGACTTTTTGTATCAAAATAAAAACGCACGCCTATCTATTTATCATTTTCAATCAATCAAACATTGCTATTTACAGGTTTTTGCAAATGTCTTGTTATCTGTTCATGTTAGCATTTCCTATAAAGTTTCAACGTTTTATTCATGAAGAATGTTTGTTTACGTATTTACGTAGGTAGATGGTGATAAATGTCAAAGTAGCATGAAAATGCAAAAAAATCCGTATGATTGGCTCGCTTTGTACAATTACGCACGGTCTCATCGTTCCATATGTGGCGTTTTATTAAGATTCTTACGGCATGCCTCCTTATTC